CTCAGCCTTCCAAGTAGCTGGAACCCCTGGACTTAGGCAGTCCTCTCACTTCCGCCTCCCAAAGTGCTGTGATGACAGATGTGAGCCACTGCTCTGGCTAGCGTCCTGTTTTCTTTTCTTTTTTTTTTATTAATCAATATTTTTTATTATGGTTTTGTGGGGTACAGTTAAGGGTTAGGTGTACAATTACGTTTCATTCAGGCACCCTGTTGATAAGAGGTGTTTTCCCATCCCCAGACAGATATTTGCTACTGTTAATCCCATCCCCTTCCCCCCCATAGTTTCCCAGTACCGTCAGTCATTTTTTTATAGTATTACATTGGATGTTCAAGGTCCATTATATGAGTGAGAACATGTGATACTCGGATCGAGCGTCCTGTTTTCAAGGATTCCTCCATCTTGTCCACAGAGCCCAGAAATCAGTCTCTATTATGACCAAGTGCTCTGTGCACAGTGGACCACATTTTGCTTATCTGCTCCGCTGTTGATGGACGTGTGCCTGGAGCATGTGGTGGGCTGTCCACCTGGTGTGAGCACACTCTGCTGTTCCAGAACAGTGTAGTCCCTCGTGGCATGTTTCTCAGGACGAGTCCCCATCACTCAGCGATGTGTGACTGGAGCGTCTAGTGTTGTCAAAGGTGAACTCTGGAGTAACTCAGGGAAGCATCTGCATGCTGAGTGCTCGCCTGTATTTGTACCTGGAGTCCGTGGTGCGTGCATGTTTTCCGTGCATGTCACCACAGCGGCCCCTGAGAGTGCCTGGTGATGATGCTGGCTGGTATCCTGGCCGTTGGTGTTCCCTCCTGCACTCGGGCCCTGATGGGCCGGAGCACTTGCTCCCACACTGCGCGTGTGTTTTGTGCTGTGTGTAGACTTCTGCTGGGTGGGCATGTTAATTCTTAAGACCACATGATTAGGAGTGACGGCAGTTGAAAAGCTGTTGGAGAGTCACAGATGAGTGGGCCTTTTTGAGTGGCTTAATTTTTCTAAAGAGGACTGTGGAATCTTTATAGAAAAAATTTCCCTTTTTAGTTACAAAACACAGTGATATTTGGCTACTGCCACGAAAAGTTAATTGAGTCCTTTGTGCCAGCTGAGTTGGAGGACAGAAAGCCCAGGGTGACAGGTGGCCCTCACCTGGCAGGGAGGGCTCTGGTATCCCTGTGGGCTGAGGCTGCGATGCCATGTTTCCAGGCCACCGGGCCTTGGGCTGATGCTGGTGGCACTCAGGTCCCCTTGTCTTTTCTTCAAGTAGACTTGGCCCCCACCCGCTAGCTGAGCTGTTGAATGAGAATCTGCTCCCCAGATGGTTCTTAGGAAGTCATATGTCAGAGCACGCCTCACAAGGGCGCCTGCTTCTTGCCAGCATGTGATGCTCCCTCTCATCCACATTCTCATGCTTGGTGTGCACAGTGAGTCTCTGCCCTCAGCCCTCACCTAGGGTCTGGATTTGGGAGTGAGGCCAGCTTGCAGGGGACTGAGGGACTTCGTACCTGGGGATCCTGACAGGAGTTGCATGGATGAGGCTGTCTGAGAGGCTGGTGCTTCAGGTTGGATGAACAGAATATGGTATCTGGAAAGGGTGCTGGTTGCTTCTGGTGACTTTCAACGGATGGGTTTGGTGGTCATGTTCAGTGACACATCAAAACAGGGGTTGATAAGGTCTTACAGGAGAGAGTCCTGCGTGATCCAGCATTTGAAGGACCGTGGGAGCTGGGTTTGTTGTAGCTTGAAAGCAGGCTGGCTGGGCAGTCCTGATGAGGCGGGGCATCATTCATCTGGGCCTGGGTGAAGGGTGGACATGGATCAGATGGCTCTAGATTCCTTTTACTTTTTCGATTCTGTGTGTTGATGTATTTCTTAGGGTACTGCCATTTGTGGGGTTTTTGTAAAACCTTGTGAGTGGGTTTTTGGGAAAGTTATAGAATGTGCTTGAAAATCATGGGGGACTATTACGTTCCACAAATAGGTACTGAAGTTGCGACCGGGGTCGTGACCGTCCTTTGCTAACTGGGTTTACTGCAGTCTTTGTGGGGGAGGTGTTCGGACCAGGGACTCCTGCCAAGAATTGAGGCTGGCCAACAGGGAGGAGAGCTGCCTCCAGGAGGCATCTAGATGCTCCTGGCCATGGGCCTGTTCAGGCCATGCTGCAGCCCGGAGTGTCTCTGTGTGCCCGGTCTTCTCCGAGCCCAGGTGCCCATGCTCCTGTGTAGGTGTAGCTTTACCCGCAAGCGACCTGAGTACCTGGTGCCCCAGTTGTGCCTCCCAGGCCTCTTTGTTTCTGGTGGTTGTCTCCCTGGCTGTGAAGTTGTGCCTGCTCCCTGGAGAATGCTTGGGCAATATGGGAAATAAAGATAGCAGTAAAGCCATTCAGAACTCCCAGCGCAGAACCTTACATAACATGGTGCTTTGTAACCTGCCATTTTACTTACTGTTTTTTGAGCATTTTCTCATAACATGTAGTATTTTAAAGAATATGATTTTTTACATCTTTATCAAATTGTTAAGAGTAAATGATGTCTCTGCTCTTACTTGAAGTTTGATTACTGGGGAGGTTGATTATAGTTTTATTTCCATTATTAGTCTGTATTCTTGGGGTTTAAGTTTTCTTTTCCTTTTTTTTTTTGAGTTGGAGTCTCACTCTGTCACACACTCATGGCCACTCTGGCTTTGACCTGCTGGGCTTCTTCTGCTTCAGCCTTCCAAGTAGCCAAAACTACAAGTGTGTGCTACCACGCCTGGCTAATTTTAATTTTTTAATTTTGGAGATGAGGTCTTGCCAAGTTGCCTGGGCTGGTCTTGAACCCATGGACTCAGATAGTCCACTTACCTCATCCTCCCAGAGTGCTGGGATTACAGGCTGAGCCACTGAGCCTGGCCTTTTTTTCTTTTGAGTTGGAGTTTCACTCTGTCGCCCAGACTGGAGTGCAGTCGCACACTCATGGCCACCCCAGAGTCAACTTGCTAGGCTTTAGCGATCCTTCTGTCTCAGCTTTCCAAGTAGCCAGAACTACAGGTGTGTGCTACCATGCCCAGCTAATTTTTGATTTATTGTAGAGATGAGGTCTCGTGAGTTGCCTGGGCTTGTCTTGAACCCACAGGCTCAGGCAATCCACTCACCTTGGTCTCCCTTAGTGCTCATTACAGGCTGAGCCACCGAGCCCAGCCTGCTTTTTCTTTTTTAAAAATTGCCAAGTATTTTCCTATCAGTTTTATTGAAGTATAATTACAGAGAGTAGATGTATATTTTTTTTTTTTTTTTTTTTTATTGTAGAGATGAGGTCTCGCTGCCCAGGCGGGTCTCGAACCCGCGGGCTCACACAATCCACTCACCTCAGCCTCCCAAAGGCGCGGGATTACAGGCTGAGCCACCGAGCCCGGCTTAGATGTATATCTTTTGAGTGTACAGTTAGATGAGGTCCAGAAAATGTGTGACCACTACCACGGTCCAGATATGGAGCATTCCCATCATCTCAGAAAGTTCCCTCCTGCCCGCAAGCCCTGACTCGGCAACTGCTGTGTTCAACCGTAGGTCGGTCTTACCTTTAAAGGATCTCACATGAACGGAATTGCACAGTGCCTCCTCCTGCTCACATGACATGTTTGAGGTCCGTCTGTGTTGTGTCAGTGACTAGCCCCTTTCTGTTATGGAGAAGCACTCCAGAAGCACTTAGATGCGCCACACTGTATCCATTCACCCACTGAAGGATGTCTTGGCTGCTTCCAGCTTCTATTGATATCAACAAGTGTCTGTAGGTCTCTGTGTGAAGCTGCTTTTTCCTTTGCCCTGAGCAAACATCTGGTATCACATTGCTAAATTGCATTGCTGTTTGTTTCACATTGTAAGAAACAAGGTGATTGTTCTCACCAGCACTGTGTGTTCCAGTTGCTCCCCATCCTCATCAACACTTGGTGGTTTCTTTTTATTTCAGGCACCCTGGTGGTGTATGGTGGGAGTTTGTTGTGATTTCAATTTGTATTTCCCTGACCACTAATGATGTTAAGCGTCTTTTCTTTCTTTCTTTCTTTTTTCCTGAGTCATAGTCTCACTCTGTCACCCAGGCTAGAGTACAGTGGCCACTCCTGGCCACCGCAGCCTCGACCTGCTGGGCTCCGGTGATCCTTCCGCCT